CGCGCCGGCCAGGCTGCCCCACGTCCTCCCACCTACAGGGAGATGGGAGCTCCCCCATCTACAGGCACACGGGATGCAGCCGGTCAGCATCCACGTCGGCACCCCCGGCTATAGGGACCCACATCATTGCTGTGGAGTCACCCCCAGCTTTGGGGACACAGGTCATCACTGTGGGGTCACCCCCGGCTATAGGGACCCACATCATTGCCTTGGGGTTACCCTAGGCTTACAGGCACCCACATCATCACCATAGGGTCATCCCCCCTATACGGCCTTGGAGCTGCCCCTGCATCCACCTCCCTCTCCTAAGGGATGTTTAATACCTCGTGAAAACTGGGAGGAAGCTCTGCTATTACTCCTGTGCCTGCTTCTGTGGGTATGGTTGTTTTCCTATTCCATGGTACGGATCCACGGCAACGCCTCAGGCTGAGGCAGCAGCAAGGGTTATATTTTAAATACCCTGTAGTAAAAAATGGTTTTGTTCTCTGTTAAGCAGTGCATGGGGGGAAGAGAGGATAGGAGATCCTCCAGAGGGAAAATCAGCCTCTCAGAGGGGCAGCTTTGTACGGATCAGCTGCTGCAGGATCCCTGCGTTATTAGAGAGCTTTGTGATGGACCGGGCTGATGGGAGACGGGCGGATGGAAGAGGTTTAGGGAAGCCCCAGGTGAACATCCTGCCTGAGCAGCTACTGCTCTTGGTCAGGGCTCAGCAAAATCTACCCTTTCTGCAGTGGGCAGGAGGCAGGAGGAGGCAGTTGCGCACAGACAGACCTCGCTTGTGGCCACTGGCAGCTCTGTGCCCTGGTGCACTCGGTCTGAGCTGCTCTGCAGGCAGGGATGATTGCACATGTACATTTTACCATGAGTAGAACACTAACGGCTGGCTGGGACACATAGTTATGGCCACGATTGAAACATCACAAATTAGGTCTCAGCTTTGTCCTGGAGTCTTGATTTGCAGGAGAAACGACTTCCAGAGTTCTGTTGTCAAAAATTGCTTCAAGTCCAAGGTCCCTTCCAGCCCAAACCAGTCTGGGATTCTGGGATTCTTATACACTGGCACAACTTAGATGCTTGGTCTGATTGAAAGAAGTGAATTGCTGAAATACCCCTGCCCCTTCTTCGCATCTTCAGAACATACAAACTCAGGGCAGAGCAGGTGGGGATTAACCGGGTGTTACTAACTGATAATCACAAAAGCTGCCAGGGTAAAATTAGAAAGAGAATGGTTTGCAGACACCCGACCCCTCTCACTCAGCGCTTCCAGGATCTGCTGTTTGCAGAGCCCTGAAACAGGTTATTTCTTTGCTGGAACAAGCAGCTGGGCTTTCTTTTCTGGTTTTTATGAGCAGAATCCCACTGCCCTAGCATATGGGAGCACTGATGAACACCGGGTACAGGCTATATCCAATTAGTGTGTCTGGAGCTAAGAAGAAGCCAATTACTGTACGTGGTGATTCACTGCCATTGAAACTGGCTTGTGCTCGGTCTGTGACCCGGGAGGATTAGAGGGAAGGTGCTGCCCCAGGCCCTGCAGCTCGTGGGGCCTGGCTGTTGTGATGGGGGTTGGGACAGGGCAGCCTGGCCTCAGCCTGGACAGCAAGGGGTTATGTATTGAATGAATCTGAGTTATCAAGATGGTCTTGTCTAGCCTAGACCTGGGGTTGGAGTTTGGAGATGGAAGGACCACTCCAAGGTTCACATGAGTCACCATAGAATCATAGAATGGCTTGGGTCAAAGGGACCTTAAAGATCATCCAGTTCCAGCCCCCCTGCCTAGAGGCCTTAGAGCAGCTCCAGTGCATAAAGGGGCTCCAGGAAACCTGGAGAGGGGCTTTGGACAAGGGATGTAGGGACAGGCCAAGGGGAATGGCTTTAACCTGCCAGAGGGGAGATTGAGATGAGCTCTGAGGCAGAA